ATCTCTGCCTTCTGATAGTCTGGGGACACTCCTTTCTAAAGTGTGTTTAACACACCGGAGAAAAAGGCCGGCAACAAAGCAACGCCTCTTGTATTTTTGAAAAGGACACGCCTTCTCGGAAATGTGCGCTACCCCTTTTCTCGTCCACAAGGAAACAAACACACAGAGAGCTTGAAAATGGATGCCGAGAGATTTAACTCTGTTTTATCAAACGTGTGCTCAGTCCACAAGATTGTGGAAACAAAGGACTTACAGCGACTTTGTTTAAAACTTTTAACACAGTCGGACTATGTTTACGAGCACAAGAGTTCAGCAAGCCACCGAAGGACCGCCCTGCAGAGTTACTATTGGTTCTGCAACGTAGGGAGTTTTTTTTAAACTCTGAAATTGTATCCGCCCATCTAAACACAAAATCAGGGAGAAAGTCATCAGTCTTTAGTTAAGCAAAGCATCTAAAGACTGACTTGTGAGTCTATGGAAAACCTGGAAAAGTCATGCAATTTCCAAATCACATTTTCCAGGTCTGGAAAAGTCGCAGAATTAGTAAAAATCTTCTCAAGTTTTTAAAGTCATGAAATTCATTGTTTCCCACAGAATTATAGTGTTTGTGTGGCGGTAGCTGAAATTTTTTACTTTTAAATGCCTGTGTGTCCCTTTGCATCATTCTTTGTCCCGTCTTTTTGTGGGTTCGTGAATACAGCACAGGTGGAGCTCTCCATGACTCTTTTGTTTCTCAACAGGAATTATCCAAGGGGTGGATAACTGATCTGCTGTTTGCATTCAGAGCTAATCAGATCAGATCAGTGGATGAGAGGAGCAGCTGCTGCGAGTGACTGCAAAGGTTTAGACCCAGCAGAATCACCCTACGCCGCAGCCTGACGTGCACCTCCCCAGAAATGTAACTAAATTTTATATACTTTATATAAAATTCACTTTTTTCACTCTTTTGTCATTAACACACAGGTCCGAAAGACACACACATGCACAAACAGGACCTATACATGCACAAAATGTCAGAGTGAGGGGGCTGCCTTGGTCAGGTGCCCTGAGCAGTTGGGGGGGTTCGGTGCCTTGCTCAAGGGCATCTTGGCAGTGCCCAGGAAGTGAACTGGCACCTATCCAGCCACCAATCCACGCTCCATATTTGGTCTGGACGGGGACTTGAACAGGCGAGCCTCTGGGAGGGTCAATAAAGCCTCCACAAAATCGCATTTTAAGTCTTGTGTGTGATTTATCCTGACTTCATATGAGCAGAGGAAATCTCTGCTAGTTGCTAGGCTAATTTATACAATGTAAAATGCCATAGGCTTGTGCTAATAACATTAGCATGGTATATTAATTCGGAAAACATGTCCACATGTATTTTGTTTTTTGAATCAACTAAACTTTACAGCACTTCACAGAAATCACCCAGCTGACCAGTGTTTGGAGGTGTAACTGCAGAGTGACACAGACACACCACTGCACAAGTATAAATACTCACAATGGTGTAGGCTCTACGTAGAGCTGATGCACAAGTATTAATCCGGCTTAATGACTCGCATGTAACCTTAGCGACGCTGTGAGGGTTCACATCCACACAGAGTTTAAAGCCTGCGACTCCGCACCAGTCCGTTGGAGCTGAAGAAGCCTCTTGGATGAGAGGTGAAACATCTTCAGGAAACTCAAGCAAGTCCAGTTGCCTACGATACAGCACACAAGAATAGTTGTCTCCAAAATGTAGTGGAGTAGAATTACAAAGTAGCATAAAAATAAAATACTTCAGTAAAGTACAAGTATGCAGAAACTGCATTTAAGTATGGTGGTTGAGTAAATATGCTGACATTCCACCACTGTCAATAAAACATATCCAGTACCAACAGAGCATGACTCAAGAAAAAGAAAATAACAGTCCACACCCACAACATTCACGTCTTACATATACAGACGTTTTGAGCATCTTAACCAGCCAACTTGGCAGTTAGTAAATGCACGTGTGTGTTCATAATTGCTTTCGCTTTCTCGTGGGTGTAATTCCTCCTCTAATCCCACACATCATTAGTAGCAGTAGTGGTATCTGTGTGTGGGATATGGCAAAGAATTCAAGAACTGTGCAAGAGAGATGCAGAAACTAAAGCTCTGTCGGACCCTCTCCGTAGGCCGGGGTGGGTATCGAAGTAGTTTGGTAAGTGGGTGTTATTATTTCACACCACTTTTTTTTTTTTTTTTCAAAGAATTTACATGTTGATGTCCAGCAAGTCAAAGCATGTCTCTGCTGTCTTCCAGTTTGCTCAGGGTTGTGTGTGTCTCAGCATGTCCAGCAAATAAAAGACTTCCAACAGTTGCCTGTCAAAGCTGAGATCATGATGAATCAGCTCGAACAAAATACTCTAAAATATCATTACTTGACAAAGAGGACAGAGGAAAACAATGCTGCAGATCAGCAGATGGATGCTTTACATAGTGACAGTGGCGGGTTTCAAGCGAGTAATTATTTTTATTACGATTAATTTCAATTGTCAGTTGCGATTAATCTCATTTTTTTTAATCACGTTTAAAGTTCTATTATTTTGCATTTGAAAACAGTTTTTAAGTCCATACTAAAAAGGTAAAGACATTTCTTACCAGCATGTCTTGATTAGGAATCAAATGAATGCCAAGAATTTTACTTTCCAGTTAAGTTCCTTTCTCTGATTCACACAGGTCCTGTATGCGTGACACTATTGTTTCTTGTGACGGAAAGGTCTGCAGTCAGTTTCCACCCATTTAGCAGCTCTGTAGTGAACTTCTTTGATTCAGTTTCATCCACAGGTCTGTGGCCATTTGCGAAACAACAAAATAGTGATGCGGTTGCCCACTGACATGAGTCTGATGATTGGGAGAAAATGGCAGCACACAGTTAGCGTGTTAACGCTGATGGCCTTGGTAAAAATAAAATAGTTACTACATGAAACTGCTCACAACAAGGTTGCGTATTATCTTGAGTAACCAGGTCATGATTTCTACAAAGAGACATTGCTGTTGAGTTTTTCAGATTTACTTTTTTGGCACAAGCTGAGTTCCACAGGAACTACGAGGAAAAGAAAGTATTTTGGGGTGAAATGTCCCTTTAAAAGCAGTTCTTAAAAGGTGACTTTTGACATACAGCCATTTTGGCAGTGATCTTGGCATCATACGCAGACGCACAGAGGCTCACTTTGTGGCAGGATGATAAGCACCTGGCTGTGGCAGTTTTTGACACAGCGAGCATCAACCCAACTAGTCAAATATCGACGCTTTGTCAGAGGATGCTGACGTCAGGTTTGTCACACAGAGGCACCCTTTGTTAGGGTATAGTGGTAGAGTTTGTAATGCCACAAAGCACAATCGCAGTATAAAGACAGAGAAAGTCAGTACAGAGAGGGCGGGAGAGGAGGTGGACTTTCATCTGGGAGCCTGCTTTTCATTTCAGGTGTGAAACCAAAAGGGTTATTTTAATGAAAATGGGCACATCCCACTGGTAGGAGGTCCTGGGGCAGACCCTGGACACACTGCAGAGATTACATATCTCATCTGGCCTGAGGAAAACCTCGGGGTCCCCCAGGAGGAGCTGGAAAGTGTTGCTGGACAGAGGGACATCTGGGGTGCTTTGCTTGGCCTGCTGCGCCCGCGACCCGGCCCCGGATAAGTGGATGAAAATGGATGGATGAATGTATGAAGTGTGCTAGTATGTGTAGCCAGCTATGCTAGTAACATGTCACACGATGTATTTCACGTGTGACATTACGTTAGTGACAACTGAACTTATTTTAAGCAAAACAATATTTTTTCCTACATGTAACCACGTGCTTTTGTTTCCTTAAGGAACCTAAGTAAAACTAAAAATGGGGTGTTTTGCCTCCACTGTAAGTTTATTTTGAAAAAGACTGCATGTTTGTCTCCTGTGAAAATGGAAATGGATTTGGAAAAAGACACAACCCATGTAACAAGTGTAAATTTACATATCATCACTGAGTGTCCATAAGAGATGCAGGAGGGAACCTGGCGCATCATATTTTGACGTGCAAGTCCACTGACAAAGCGGCAGTATCTGATGTGTTCGGATGAGAACAGGTTGGTTTTGATTATTGATATGAAGAGGGAGGGACTGCTGCAGTCTCTGAAGTGTTCAGGGAGAGAGCTCCAGAGGGAGCAGGCAGCTGTGGTGAACTGTCACCCCAAGGTGTGATGTTCGGTCCTGAGGGCGGAGGCTCTGTGAAGGAGTGTGGTGGTGGAGCAGGACGGTGAGGTCAGTGGGGCCTTGGTATGGAGGGCTGAATTAGAGCCGTTGGAGGTCGGGGAGCTCTTCTGTGTGGAGTTTCCACGTTCTCCCCGTGTCAGCGAGGGTTTACTCAGGCTTCCTCCCGAGGGAACCGATCAAATTTAGAACTGATTTTAGGATTTTATTGTTTGTTTTTAAAGCGCTGAATGGGCGAGCTCCCCAATACATCGTCGACCTCTTAAAAGTGTACACCCCCTCAAGGTCACTGAGGTTGGCCGATCAGCTGCAGCTTGTGGTCCCAAAAAGCCGTTTGAAAATGAGAGGTGACTGCGCCTTCTTGGTAGCTGCCCCTGGGCTATGGAGTGACCTGCCGGCCCGTGTCAAAATAGCCAACCTGTCTCTGAGTCTTTTTATCCCTTGAGCTGTACTGCCTGTATCGCTTCTGCTTATGTGTATTTCTGTACAGTCCTATGTGGATTTCTGTATATTTCTGTATGCTTATGCGTAGTTTTGTGCAGCACTTCGGTAACTTCGTGTTTTTGAAAAGTGCTATATAAATAAAGAGGACTGGAACGTTTGTGCCAAATTTGAAGAAATTCCCGTGAGGCATTCTTGAGATATCATTCACAAGGATGTGATGGACGGATGGACGGACAACCCAAAAACATAACGCCTCCTGCCACGGCTGTCGCCAGCTCGGAGGCGTGAAAACAATCAGCAAAGGCAGTTAATGGTCAAATAACTGTGCCAGTGCTAACGAAGAAGACGAAATGAAAAGGTGTCAAGTTGTAACAATTTTTATTTCCTGTCATGAACTTGATCGAGCACAAGAAGAGCCTTTCACAACACAAGGAGAGACAGAGAAAGAGCATAATATTACAGAGATGATAGATGGCATCTGTTCTCACCTTCATGTGACAGAAGGGAGAACAAAACATATAAACAAACAAACAAAAAAAAAAAACTTGGTTCAACTTGTTGTTTTTTTCATAGTGATAAAAGCTACAAAAAACTAACAATATTCAAATCCTCTTGAGAACATACAGAATTATAATACAGAAACACTACAATACTCTTATCTCCCCCTCCCTCCCTCCATATAACTCCTGAGGCCCAGGACAGTATGGTCACAGATGAACAAATATCGAGTACTGTACACGAACATGACTCATCACGGCTCCACTGAAACCAGAACTTTCTCAGGAGAGCGTCGCATATCTACAGCCCCAGTCTGCAGCCGTTTTATTACTTGGACTCTATCAGGTCATTACAGGGATTTAAACTCTTAAACACCTTCTTCCTGCTCTCTGTTGTGAGTAAGGGGAGCCAAAAGTTTTATTTCAGCATGGTGAGTTTTTGATTTTACAGCAGAAGACCTGCTTGACTACCTAAACAATATCCAGCATCGGATGGCTCCTTAAAACTAAATGAGAATAACGTGACATTTTAAATTTTTGGGTCACCAGATGTTGCTTAAAATGTAGCGCATAACCCTGGACAACCTATGCTAAAAATTCTGGCATTTAATTTGACCCTAATCTTCAATTTGGTTGACAAATGAATGCCCTGAAGTTGTCTTTCTGCCATCTGTAAGTTCTAAGCAAGGTGAAGCAGATTTCTTTTTTGAGATCTCAAGACAATAACCCATGCTTTCTTCTCACGTGGATTATTGCAACGCACAATATGTCGCGGTCAGACAGACTTCTACTGGTGCAAAACATGTCTGCTAACAGAATCAAAACAATCGAGCCATTTAACTGAGATTTTAACATCACTGCACTGGTGACTGGTAAAATTTAGACTACAAGATTTTATTTTTTCTTTTCTAGCTTTGATCGGGCTCCAGCATATCTCAGTGAGCTTTTACATCCCACTGTTTTCTCAGACCACTGAGGTCGCCTGATAAGCTGCTGCTTTCTATCACAGACAGTCGTTCAAGGCGTAACAGTGACCGTGCTTTTTCAGATGCCGGGCTCGAGTTGTAGAGTTGTTGGATCAGCCCCCACCATTGACTGACTTTGAAAATCAAAGTTAAAACCCACTTCTTTCCTCTGGCCTTCTACATGTTTTATGTACATCAATATCTATCTTTGTGTCGTTGGTGAATTTCTATCCTTTGTCTTTTTTACAGTGTGAAGCATTTTGGTCAACAGCTGGTCGTGCTATTGGAATAAACTGACTTGACTCGAAACCTGACTTTAATTTTGATATTTAGAAGAAGGAGAAGGTATTCTTGATTTATCCAGCAACAGAACAATTTAGGGTGAAACTACCTGCAAATGAAAATGTAGTATTCAAGAATGTATTAAGAAATAGCATGTGATGACACACTCTTATTGTTTCAGAGAAAAATAAAAAATAAAACTTCTCTGTTTGTCAGCTCGGCTCACAGAACGCAATTTTATAAATATATTTAGTGCATTAAGCCACTTGAAATTAGTCAGACAGCAAACTGGGGCTTGAAGCTGACTTCTCTTTATTCTGTTCTCTCCTGCTAACCATTAAGAAGGCTGTGTTTGTGTATGTGTGTGTGTGTGTGTGTGTGTGTGTGTGTACTGTAAATTCTCAAACATCCACTGCCTTCATTATCAGAGACTTTACTTATTATTATTATTATTATTATTATTATTATTATCATTATTATTTAATCCATCTCTAAAATGTATTAGTGATGCATAGATCGGCTCTGATGTTGTCCAAATATTGTCTCCAGTTCAGAGACATGTCACCCCGCTCCCCTCTGGTCCCTGTACGCTTTTTAAATAACACATTGATGTATGAGTTTTTTTACTACTTTGAGTAACTGTAGATTTTTCCATGTGCAGCAAATATTGTGGGACATTTAGGCGGCAAAAGTAAAAACTGCAGTTATAAACTTTACAGAGGAAACAGAGCTGAACTTTTAGCTTCTGAAATGAGCAGTGAAGTTACGCTGCTGCTCCTCGTGTGTAAATGTGCACAGCGTCTCTCTGAAGCAACTCAAAGTCATCACTAAGCACGACCATATCATAACATATTCAATAAATGCACATTTAAGGATTTTTTTCTTTGGTAAATTAAAAACTCTAGCAGGTATTTCTTACTCCACCAACCTGCAATCCATCTGCTGTTAATCAGAGAGTTAAATTTTTAGAACTGGACACGTTCGTGGACGTCACTGCAATCTGCGCATCACTAATATGAAGCCTTCCTGTTTTCTGATCTGCTTTAATCTGTTTTGATGATTCACTGTTGCTGCTGTCCCTCTAGGCATCAACAGGAAGTGACGACCTTTATCGACAGCAGATTAATATCATGACAACACGGCAAAGAACAGTTCAGAATTCTTTTTTTTTTCAAGTGAATCTGTTCAAAATTTAATTTAATTTGAGAAGGTACAGTCTGTTTATCTGTAAAACTTTAATGTGAGTATATGCAAGAGTTGTCAATGTGTGTGTGTGTGTGTGTGTGTGTGTGTGTGTGCGCAGGGCGGGGGTCTATATTACAGGGGAAATCATACATTCTCTGGTTCAATTCGACTGCATTCTTGTCACCAGGTGTAAAGGTGATAGTGGGGGACGGATGAAACCTAAATAAGACACCAACTTCCATCTTTCCAACGCGGTTACACAATCCTCCCACAGTGAACTCTACAGCGGACATTTTGCGACCCGTCTCATGTGTTTAAAATCAACCCATGTATCAGATTGTGAAACTCACTCGGGTCGCAAAATGTCCCAAGTAGCCGTACATACTGTAAATAATGTTGAACTCCCTGTGCAGTAGTAGAAATCCTTCATCGGGAGGGTTGACTTGTTTCTCAGGAATGTCGGTTTCTGTTTCACTGACAGAATTAGGCTCATTTGGATCGCCTGTCTTTTACTGTGTTTTTGGTTTTTATAAGAAATCTTAGAAAAATGTGACACCTCTGAGAGGAGTCTGCACCACACCGTCTGTGTCCTCATTATATCTGACTGAAGTTAACCTCCACATCCTCTCCCAAATGAACCGCAACGTGTTTTTGGTTGTTGAACATGTTGCACAGAAACAACAGCAACAAAAAAACAAAAAGGTCAAAACAGCACAGAGTGCCTCAGAGATACTCCGAAGTTATTTGTTTTATTGTCTACAGGCAGAATCTTTCAGAAACTATGACTCTGCAGGGGGAAACACAGAGGTGAAAATGTGACTGACTCTTGAAGGGCGAAGACAAATTAAACATATTGTAGAAGGATCGTCCAGGCTCTGATGGTCGACAGCTGTGAGCGGAACGCAAAAAAAAAAAGTCTGAAACAAATCGCTGTGAAACTGCAGAGACGGTCTGAACATGACGAATAATGTGGGACACAATGCCAGGACAACAAAACAACACTAAAGATGTTCATCAAATTAAAAAAGAAAAACAATTGAGCCTGCTCATGTTTCACTGATGTTAATGTGGATCGTGAATTGTGTTAAAAGTACCCAACACTCTTAACCTGAACAGAAAGCGAGATACTTTTACGTTACAGAAAAGTTTTACTTCTGAAGATCTTAGCTACATGTCCACCTCTGATGACCTCACAGACGTAACGCCACGATGAACTACAAATAAAGCTACACAAGAACTCTTGTACCCATAATGCCACGCTCTAAAGGCATTTTTACAGCCAGAGTGAGACGACAAAAAGTCTCCTAGCTAATCTACAGCGACACACTGTAAACATGTTTTTTGTTATCCTTGATATCCTTGAGATGCACGCGCTCAACGTCTTTAAATACCGCTTGGGGAAAAAAAAAACGACATACGTGTCACTGTTTTTAGCTGCCGATACAAATCAAGTGAGCACATGTGCTAACCAGGCAGCAGTGGATGTTCTCATAGAATTGCCTGTGAACTGTCGCATTGGTGCTAAAGGATGTCACGCTCACTCACCAGCTGGACCTCGAGCGCCTGAAGAACCCGACATACAAACTCATGACACCGAAGCTGAGGAATCACTCTACTGAATACTAATTTTTAATTGGCAGATGCTATTAGCACCAAGGTGTTTGTAGCCAACAATGCTATTTACACGCGGGTGTGTATTCCTGGACGGCCAAGCAGCGTCAAAATATGACATATATACAAGCTGGTCAGCTATTCTGCTAAAGTGTATGTACACAGTGTGCAATCAGCAGCTTTATACATCCTAAACACGGAAAATAATAAGTAAGCTAAGTCTAAAAATAATGTCTACTAACACAAAGCTCGAAGCCCAGTCTCGTGTGTCAAAGTCCTGTGCTTGACCCATTCATGCACCACCTCTTACTCCCTCTGTGGATTGTGTTGCTCTTTATATTACATCACCTGACCCTCAGGTACATTTACACTTTCTCAGAGAATATCCAAGATTGGTTAGTACTCGCACTAACCACGACCTCTTTGCTCTAACCGTTTCCAACCTCGACGGGTACTGGCCAGTCACAGTACGCAGTAGGATCCATCAACACGTGTCAGGGACGGGTGTAAATAGCCAAATAGCTGCAGTGTGACTTTTCTCACTGGGTGCAAATAGACACTGTTATTAAATTACTAATATTCTATGAAATGACCTTTCAGGCTGTCACTCTGACTACACATGTACTCTTACGTCATTTTCCCCAGACTTAACAGTTTAAATACAGTTTAAAACCCCTGTTCTTCATTATGGGATGGCTACGTATTTCTGGGAAAAGCCATTTCAAAACATGATAAAGATAAACATTAAATATGAGTATAAACAATGTTATTTGTGACCAAAAATATTCCTGGAGTGACACAGACGTGTCGGCATGTGTGGAGGTGACGGTGTGCTCCTGGTGAGCTCTGTGGGATGTAGCACATCAGGGTCGGGCTGAGCAATATATCAAAAGTATATCAATATCGTGATATGAGACTAGATATCGTCTTAGATTCTGGATATCTTCGAGTGTTGTCTTTTCCTGGTTTAAAGGCTGCAATACAGCAAAGTGATGTCATTTCCTGCCTTTACTCAGGGCTCACTTATGCTCAACGTTCAATATGTATAGGGACACGGATGTGTTCATGTTGTCTTAAAGCTTATGGGTACGGATGAAACGAAGTAGTACCACTAGAGATCGTAGAGGCAGTGTAGCATTGTTCAAATGAGATGCGACCGTAGGAGGCGACGAAGACATTTAAAAACAAATTGGTGATATAGTCAAAAGAATTTTCCGTCCACATGTCATGACGTATTCACAACAATGTGTCTACAACGATGCCTCTGTTAAAAGGCACATGATAACATCCTCCTCCACTGCTGTCTTGTCCATTGCCGTCTGAAACTTCTGACTCCGCCCTCTAGTGCCATCTGTTGGCTGTATCTATACCAACATAAAGGACATACAGAAGTATAGGAGCAGTGACATTTACAACGTTTTAAATGGATTTATCTATTGTGATCCGGGAGAATAAATGAGCCCTAAGTTGTTATATCCACATTGATTTTTTTTATTAAAAAAAAAAAAAATCTAATTTTGTAATATTTTGTCAAAGCACCAATACTCAACTCTCAGGATGTACATACTACAAAGTTGTAGTAAAAGTACAAAATACTCTCTGTAAACCCTGAAATACTTGGTTTCACATCAGTGTGTGCAAGAGCAGACAAAGTGACTGATGAACTTGCAGCTGTAAAAAGATTAAATATTCCGTTACTTACATTTATAGCTGCTTCAGAGTTCACACAGTATATACTGGCTGGTGGCAGCGGTTTTAAGACAATAACGTGTTTTTTAATGTATTTAATTATTTTTACAAATAATACGTCGAGCTGTAAGTTTGAGGAGTTTTGTTTCTTTGCACATTCCTCTGCGGTCATCGCACCTGTCTGTACACAACTGCACGAGGTCAGAGGTCAGTGGACTCTATGACCCTTTTACAGACCATGTTAGAAATCACATTTTCACCTTCGTGTTTGCACCCCGGGGGGATTTCTGACCGTAAAGACAGACAGCAGTGTTCGATGCACTGTGTGTGAGGAGGAGGCAGTCATGTCTGCGTGTGTTTGGAGGACAGGTGGCGACGTTGGGATTTCCTTTCTCCGCTGGCCGGATGGTGACTCTGATGTGGATCCAGACAGTCTCATCACCGCCTGCTTTAGGTGGTCTGCAAGGAAGAGAAACACACATGCAATGTTTTACACAGAGACAACGCTGCACACCTCATTTTTAAAATGTGGCCGGAAGGTATTTTGCCTTGGAGCAGCAGCTGAGAGGGTGTGGCTCCGTTGCTAACTCGACCCATTGTTTTGTATTTTTATTGAGGCCATGACAACTTCATGACAGGCTGACATTTACATAGATGACTCTCTGCTATGACAATGAAAAATATTTACTTTGTAGTGGGAGCAGTGTGACAGTTAATGCAGACTGCATGGCGCCTTTTAGGTCTGTTTATTGTGTGATTGTCTTTATCAGTGACATCATTCCAACTGTCACTGCTGTTGTGGTGGCAGCTCTACATGCTGTTTGGAGGTTTAAAATGTGCCAAGTATCAAATTTGTTGTTCATTATGTCGTAAAAAGGGCAACGTCACACACCAATGGCTTCAAAACCATCCACACCTAAACTGTTTTCTTTGTAAGCACACAAACACACGGGAGGGGAGCGATGACAGGCTGACAGCAGATACGCCACTGTCCTGTTCACTTGCGTCACCTCTTCAGGGCAAAAAAAAACCATGATTTTATTGTCTCACCGTATTCACTCAGTATTAGTGATGCAGGACATTAGATTTTTTTCCGATATCTGACAAGCAGATACGTAACTCATTTGACCAATAACTGATACAGATCCTGATATATCCACTGGTTCTTTCCCACCTAATTTTAGTCATCGTCAAGTCTCTTCTGCAGTAAAATTAACATATTATACATGCATACTCTTATCATGACGGCCCACCAGCAGATGGAGACCTGTACAGTCAAAGCCTGATAAGATTATTCCTCTGCCACACTGTTTCTTTATCACCACGAACACACACACACACACACACACACACACTGTAGTTAATTTGACGTCCTGCTGCCCCATACCTAAATGCATCTGTCTGACAATGTTCCAGCCTGTGGTGTGTTTGTATGTCTATGTAATTGTTAACGTCATGTAACCCCCATTTGTCTGTTTATGTTTTTGCACTGACTGTAAAAAGAATTTCCTTGCAAACTAAACTAAACTAAACTAAACTAAAGCACCACATCTGGATTAATCCCTCGCTAAAAATAGTCTCAAATAAAAGCACTATTTCCTCCTCTCTGTTTGATGAAAACTACAGTGAGCAGGAAAAAGGGCCATTTTTAAAAATGAAACTATATATTTGTGACGACCTCAGTAGGAACAAACAGGCTGGTGGCTGCGTGCTGTGTGACATGCAAGAAAGCATTAAAGGCTGATATGGTTGGTTTTGGTCCTTTCAGGGGATTTGTTAATAATAAAGCTGTAGCATAACATCCTTTGAGTTCACAGAGAGATACAATATGTTAAGTTTAGACTGGTTTTTAAAACTATTTTAACACGATACAAAAGCTTCCTGCTTCTTCACAGGACGTAAAACACAGTAAAGGCCACAGTGTCTTTACATGCCATTCATTTCCTGTCAGCCTTAATGTCATCTGAGCCATTTCAGTGAAATTAAAGACATTGTATATTATAATGAGCAGCAGCCTGACCTCTGTACTCTGCCTCTGCATCTTGTGCACGGAGCAGGACGCCGGGTCTTTCTCCCCCGACCCGTCTCGTTCCGACTCGCGCTCCCGCTTTCCTGTGATGCCTCCTCTGGTGTGCAGGAGGAGTCCTGAAGAAGAACAGTCTTTATCAGTATCAGAGACACTTCCAGCAGGTGGATGTGTGAGGACTGAGTTGAGTTAAAGTGAGTTCTAGGGCTGCACAATATTGGAAAAAACTGACATTGCGATTTTTTTTTTGTTGCAAAATTAAAAAATAAAAGAATTTTCACCAGATGACTTAAAGTAAGAAAATTAAAAAATAGTGTTGTCTGTTATCTTCCTGTGCTGGGAAGAATCTGATGTTGGTGGCTGCTGATGGAGAGGAACAGAGTCGCCCTCTAGTGGCAGCATTCACACACACACACACACACACACACACACACACACACACACACACACACACACACACACACACACACTCAACAAAGCATTTATCATTTCTATAAAACGTCTGATCTCAGACAGACACAGACACTTCCTGTTTCATACCTGGGTGCTGAGGCACAGCAAACTCGTGGTAGAGTCGGCTGCTGGTGATGGTCTGGCTGGCTTCTGGCACTGAGTGGTATCCTACAACCGACATGTCAAACAGCAGTGATGAGGTACTTGTACTCCACGACATCTCAGAGACAGATATTGTACATTTGTCTGACAGCTTCGCCCTGGTTCCTCAACACCTGACGCAGACCTTGTTGATCCGGGTGATATCTGAGCCAGTGTAACTCTTGTGGTTTCACTTTTTCTGAGGTAGACTAGCAGCACTAAGAACCTTGCCTAAGGGTCCAGAATGGATATGTGTTGCCCCACCCTGCCCCAAACCGCAAACTTAATGCTTTACAGTGGCATAATTGTCAGGACTGAGGTCAGGACTTTTCATTCACAAACTGAAAATGTTGGTGATGTGCATGTAAGACAGACTGAGAGTGCTTTCACAGCTGCTCTGTTTGGTTCCGTTCAATTTAAATCAAGTTGATTTGCCCCCTCAGTGCGGTTTGTTTGGGCAGGTGTGAACACAGCAATCACACTCAGGTGCGCACCAAAACAACCGGACCGAGACCTTCTTGAAGAGGTGGTCTCGGTCCGGTTCCAAAGGAACTCTGGTGCGGTTGGTTTGTGGTGAGAAGGTGTTCCGACCTGGATGTGAAGCAACTGCAGTCACATGACACATTGTTTGGGTTAAACATGAGCATGTTACAGTCCTGGAGGATTATTAATGTGCACCTCCTCCTGTACTGCCTTAATATGCACATTCAGCACATCCAATGCATCAAAACATTGTTTTCTAGTTGGAGCCGCGCCTCGTTTTCAAACTGTATGGTTTGACTAAAATGAACAATGACAGCAATATAGTCCACGATGAGCAGCGCTAAAATCAACCTGCGTAGTTGTCCCTCCATTGTGACATTACAAAGTGTCACATTTATCTTGCAAGTGTACTCTTCTTCAACGTTTGCTTTACTTCCTGGATTTTTCCCACATGGAAATTCTGACCAATCAAGAGCAGCTTTCTCACACAAGGCATTTGATCTGGTCCTCTTGTAAATGCTGCCGTGAGAACACGAACCAACTCTAGGCAATTATACAACTTTGGAACAACATGAGTCCCTGATTCAGACCAAAGGAGACGACTCTAGGTCTGAGAGCAGCCTGAATGTAACATGCTAGAAATGCTAAGAGAAAACACTGGTGTCAGGTGATGCCCCACCATGCTGCTGCTGCTGCTGCTGCTGCTGCTGTTGTGGGTGCGGCTGCAGTCGCTGTTGCTGTTGTTCTTCATTATCAAAGTTGAGTAAGATGCTCCCGCTGCCATTACCTGTTGCAACGGAGCTCCCCGACACTCCAGGCACTGAAAGAAGAACACAGACAAAAACGTGACTGCCACAGGTAGATTAACCTGAACTATATTTTATCTATTAAAAGTGTGACACGTCTTTATTGTGATAAAACTGACTTACAGTGTGAGTTGCTGTTGGTCCCTGGCTGCTGCTCTCCGGGAGAGTAGGCCATCATTCCTCCGTTCCCATTCCCATTGGTGGACGGCACTGATGCCAGCAGGCCTGAATCACACAAACACATATTTGTTTTTCAATGGAAAAGAGAGAAATTTTATTTTGAAGACATTTTAATTTGAGCAAAAAAGCTCTTTTTCCTTGGTATGAAATTAGAGGCCCGTAAAGCCGGCGCACTGGAGACTTTCTCAGGCTGAGTTGGCTACTTCAGGTTTAGCACTCCTCTAACTTTGGCGAATAAAATACTTTAATCGGGCGCTTGTAGATCTTCCTAATGTTATCAGGCTGAATGGATTAAATCCTGATAGTGGAACGAGTCATTTTGGGGGGCTGTGACGCTCCAAATTTTTTTTAACCATGATTTACAGACATAAGAATAATAAGAATAAGAATAACTTTATTCATCACCAAGGGGAAATTCAATAATCGTTGGGCCTCTGGTAATTCACATCCTTACTTTTCACTGCCAAACATTTTCAGTTTTGTCATCTTTTGCCACACTGTTAGTAAGAACATTGATCTAAAAATTGAGTTTTCAGTGTGTAATAAGCGTCACAGCCGTCAGCTGCAGCTGGCATGTCTCTACAGTCATGTTAACATATGGATCTCTTACCCAGTCCCCTGTATCGGCTAAGTTGCTGGTAGATCTGCTTCATCCTCTCGATGTTGAGCCGGCTTGCCTCTGCGTGGTGCACCATGGGCTTCGGGTAATGGACGCCGATGATGCACTTGGCAGCTGCCTGCACCGACTCCGGAGCGTTCCACGGGTCGTAGATGTACTTAGCAGGGAAACCTCGGAGGACAGGTAAGTAACGTCTGGGAGCACAGGGAGACATTAGATTTGCAGTCTTGTGTCACCTGACGAGTGAATCAGGAGCAGCAGTGATGCAGGGATGCAAACGGTTATTGCTTTAAAGGTTAGTTAAATATTTTGTCCAATATCTTGCATCATAAAAACAGTTTTAATTATTTATTTAATCATGCATATATGTGATACTTTTTAAGTTTTTTTTCTTTTGAAATGAATCATTCTGTTTTATGATACACGTCAGTTTTCATTCTGAAGCCTATGAATGTGCTGTAACTGATGAGAGCATGCTGGTCTTCAGCACTTCATGCTTACATGTATTACTACAAAATGAAAGCTACAAACAACCACAACACTGCACAGTATGGCTACAGTTCATGAGAGCACAGAGTCACTCTACGAGCCTGAGACTCTTGCATGGACTTTTGGAGATTATGGCACTGAAGTGAGTTACCATCACAGTGCTCAGTGAGGACTACAGTTCACAACGTGGAAGGACAACGAGGGGCTGTGGTCCCGAACAACATTTACTGCATGGTGGTGTGATAGCAGCCACACCGCAGACAGAGAGTGTGATCCTCCAAGAGACAATAAAAGACTGACTGCAACAAGATACAGAGGTCAACATCTCACAGTACCAACTGCTGATGGTGTTTTTGTTTTCTTCCTTGGGCGGTCGTGATTTGCTCCGTGTGTCAAAGAAAGGCCACCTACCTACTGCACTTGGTCCGACCTTACCGAGTCCAAGGAGGGGAGACAGACAGGACAGAGGAGGGGGGGCGCAAGTGGAGCTGTGGAAGTGTGGGAAGCGGCTCAATGCAGCACCGAGAGGCAGACAGAGAGGGACGGGGGAGGCAGAGCGGCCTTGTGGACCGTCACACACACAGTGGACGGCGCTCTGGTCGCTATGGAGACAGCCCCATCGCTAGAGAGATCACTGCCGACTGGGTGGATGATGCTAGGAGACGTCTACTGTAACACGCGGTTAGAAAGCAGAGTGTATTGACCCCCCCCCCCCAGCCCCGACCAGAGCAGGTGTATAGTGGAAAAGTTCTGTCATCAAATGATCTGCTATATCTAAACACTGCTGGGAAAAAAAATAAAATAAAAACCACTCTCTTGTCTTTAATTTCCCCTGAGACTGAGGGCAGCTGTGGCTACAAAAAAAGCCCCTGCAGCTGAATATATTTACAGGTGTAATTCTTCTTAAAGCTCAGCGTCCACATCCCCGTGTCCTCAGCTGATGTCAGTCAAGATAAAAAGTGACGACAGGTAAATATCTGCTAAAAATAATCCTGAAAGTTCCTTGTCGATGACAGAAGACTTCCATTATACCTCACAGCTCCGGGCCCCCTCCCTCCCCTCCACCCCCCCGCCACCCTCCCCTCCCCCATGATCAGACAGTGGTGGACTGAGAAAATAGCTCATGCCTGCTCCCCCTGTCCCTCAGACTGTGGTGGTTGTCTTTTAGGTGCTCAGTGGGCAGAGACCCCCTGCTGACTGTCCGTTCCCACAACCACAGCGCCACACTCTGGGCTGGCCCACTAGAGAGCCCCCTCATTTCACCAAAAGGGACCACAACCCTTTTGCCAGGAAGATCCGCGACCTGCCAGTAGCAAGCGGTCCTACAGTGGACAGCCGGCGGTGTGTGAGGAGGAGTGCAGGAGGAGTGTGTGCATGTGTGTGTTCCGATATGTTGCAGCTGTTTTCCTTTCCTGTTCTTAATTGTTTTATTATAATATCATAATATCAGGTGCATTTGAAGTTTTTCACACACGCCTTTCAGGAAATTCTTTCTATAACTCGCTGACGGTCGGTCAGTCCACAAAAAATTTCCCTACCCTTTTGGCGCCGAGAGTTTTAACCCAGGCAGGCTAAAATTTAGTATGGAGGTACCACTGGATGTGTCTCCAAACTAAGAACACGTCTTATTTGTAAAGCACATGTTAGCTTTCATCATTTTCACAATCTTTGCATCTGAAAACAACCTGTAAAAAACACAAGCAGTATTTATCACTTAAATTTAGACATTTTTAGTTCCTAATCCCTTTATTGCAATTTCTCGATCAAGTTAAAGATGTTTAATTACAGACAAAATGCTTCTTCACCTCAGTTTCTGCAACTGAAAGCAAATCTGAATCTTTCCCCTGGCTTAAGGCCCTGACACGTCTGGCAAAATGTTGGCCGTCGATGAGTGTGTGTCGCACTAGCTGGCAGCACTCTGATTGGCAGCTAAGCTCTGAGCACGAGATGAGGAATGGATGTAAGGGAAGCAAAAATAAAAAAACTAAAGTCAAGAGGGTGCGAGATCAAAATAAACTTGTTAAATTAGGTAAAATTATTTTTTTAGCAACCTGTCGGGTCGTCCGGTTTCCCTTTTAGAATGATGATTACAAACGACGCCCCCCACTGGTATAAAGATTTACTTCCTCTTATGTAGACACAGAATGTATGTGCTAATTGGCCGCTGTCTTTGTGGTGTGTTCAAGTGCAACTTTTTGGCCAAGACATGGCAACGTGAGGTGATGCAACGGTCATCCTTCATCACTACTAGTTCTATGACATCAGTTTGGTGCGTCGGGGCCTTTACTTTGCATTATGCTGTTTTTTTTGTGCTGCATCTGAACTTAATTTGGGGTTATGCATGTGTGTGCTGGACAGAAGTTCGAAGAAAATAAAGTGTGTGTATCTTGTGTGTGTGTGTGTGTGTGTGTGTGTGTGTATGTGTGTTTTTCATTGCCTGAGAAACACACACACACACACAGCAACTGCTCCAGGTCCACCTGAACCGGCAGGGCTGCATTCACACAAGCAGAGCACCACTGAACATTTCACAAAGGATCAGATGAGAGGCTTTGCCCAGCGCCTGGACAATGGACCAGCTCGCGTGGCACGGGAAAGGTAACGAGTACCGGCACCAGCTGTGTCGGTCCAACGCCTCTCGTCAGTACCCTCTGGGTAATGCTTCATAGTCCTCTACCTACCGAATACAGGCAAGACGTTTTTCCCCACCAAGTGGTCAAAATCCCTTTTGACGAAATGAGGCGCTATCGAGTTACAAACCTGCCCAGAGGGTGCTGCTGGGGCGCGAGCAAAGTCCCGTCCCTCAGGGTTGCACAGGTAAGTAAAAACAAACGATCACCGATTTCTCAACACTGTCCTCAACTTCCATCCAAGGCAGCCCTGGCTGGCAGCCAGGCTGGGGAGGGGCGTGAGAACGGCCAATCACCTTAAAAGCAATCAGCTACAATCTACGAAGGGGAGAGGGATAGCTGAACTTTTCCCCCAATCCCCCAAAAACAGATGAGCCAAAACACAAACACAGAGCCACATCCAGAGAAAGAGAAGAATTAATCTACACCTTTGCAGTAAAAATCATCTGATGGCAACACATTATTACCTAAAGATACGCACGCGTACACAATCACCAAAGGGACATTCACAAACAATTAAAAGGCACGCAAGAAGGACACTGTGACACTGAAATTATTACAAAAGACATGCCTAATTCCAAAAACTAAAGTGCTGAAGTTTCACAGAAAAGAAAAAGGACTGACGGGCAAAAATAAAAAAGGAGAGGAGGGAAGGATGCTTATTCTTGTTCATTGACTTACCGAGAGATCTGGAAGTCCCCCTTTATCCCTCCATCTCTCTCTGCTTTTGTCTGGTTAATTAAACCTGTGACGGTGTGTGAGCTGTGTGTTGGCGTGTGTGTCTCTTGTCTGTTTGTCTAGTCGTGGTCATTATAATAACTGGCTTAACTCTTTAAAAATAACTAAAATACTTGACTGTGTGTGGGAGATAACGGGTATGAAATATCACTGACATGTAAACTCTGTGATAAATTAGTCACTACAAGAAGACCCATCTTAAAACCTGCCCTCAATTGTTACACCTGCTCAAAAAGATGTGTCATATGTAACATAAATTAATTTTAAAGCCCCTTTGACACAATAACCTGCCTTAATTTTGTATATGCACATGTGTATAGATGTGTTTTCTGGTCCCGTGTCTACGTGATCATGGCCTGGTTCTTCCTGCTCTCTGAGTGCCTTTGTGTTTCCCTGTATGCATGTACTCCAGAGAGACAGAGGGACGAAGGGTGCCATCCAGGTGGGAGGGTCAGCAGTTTGCACCAATGGGCGATGCCAGGAAAGGTACCCACCTAATGAAGTCCCCGTTGGGGTCGGTGCGCCTGCCAAAGCCCACGGGGCAGTAGCAGTGGAAAAACTGCTGGAAAAATGAACTGCAGGACAGCCACATCCAGCTGCCTGCGTTCACGCTCCAGTCTGCGTCCAGAAGCAGCTCCTCAAAGACCTGCAGCACAAAGACAACAGATTCTCCAGATGTTAGTTTAACATTTGAGGCAGAGCGTCAGTGAGCTAAACCCTGACAGATAAACGGAAGTTTTTTATTGAGACATTCAGCACTGATGCACGTTTGCTTCATTTGGCATTTAAAAATGACCTAGACAGGCCTCAATGGGCCGCTAGTGTTTGTTTGGGATAAATATTTTTTTTTACTAAAATCAAATGAGCCAAAACTGGACAACACTTATTATTCCAGATGATGTCATGTCTTATATCCTCTGTTGTTCCCCCACTGTGCTGCATCCTCACCTTCATCCCTTCCTCCCAGCTGATCCACAGGTCGCCCCGAGTGAGGAAGCACGCCACCGCGTGCCTGGCCAGGTGATGGATCCAGCCCTCCTGCCTCAGCTGAGTCATGATGGCGTCTATCCAGGGAAAACCCGTCTTTGCCTCAGCCCACTTGGCAAGTGCTTCGGGATTTTTGTCCCAGGGGATGCGGACGCAGATGGGGTTGCCCTCCATCTTGTCGAAGCGCGGGTTGTTGGTCGCCGTGGTGTAGAAGAACTCCCGCCACAGTAATTGGCCGTACAGGGAGAGTGGAGGAGAACTGTTCTTTTTCACCTGGGTGAAGATAAACGAAGCAAGAACAAGAACAGAGAATATTACCTTCAATATAAGCGGTGTAAGCTTCGGAGGTCTTCATAATTTATGTCATCAACCCAAAAAAAAGAGGAAAAGACAAAAAGTTCCTCCATTAGAATATATATATTAGTTAATGTGGTTATATAGATGTAATTTATGGTGCTTTGTGGTGCTGCGAGACTGCCCTGTTAATACAGGTGCAGGTGTGTGCAGCAAACAGGAGAAGAGTTTTCACATTCCACTGTCCTTGAGGAAAGGGGATAGACAGAGACAGTTAAATCAGAGGGAAACCTTTTGGATTTATAAACTACAGGCCACTAAATATCCAGGCCTGAATGAGGATCTTGACTTTAGTGTGTTTATTTGATTGTCTGCTTTATGTTGTTTGAGTTTACTCTCTGCATGGTTTATTTTTTAACCTGACTGTAATGTGTTTTGCTTGTTGACCTTCTATATTCATGTTTGACCTTCTTGAGAAATGTATGATACTTATCTCTGACTGTGTTGTAAGGATGACATCTGCTGGATGCTTTTATGTAATGGCAATTGTCACCTGACCAGCACTCCTGCCAGGTGGAGGTTTCTGATAGGTGGACTTATGCTTTAAGAAACTCTGCTTCCTGTTGAGAACTGTTTGACTCCCTGATGAAGGCTTAATTGCAGAAACGCGTCAGAGTTTTTTTAAAGGGAAATGTTACCAAGCCATTAAAATAAAGGCTTTTTAACTTTGTTCAACTGAGAGTGCCTTGGAGTCTTCCTTGTTTTCTCAGTCTAAAGATTCCCTTCCAAAGAACACCTCAACAAAACTTGTCTTGAGTCCAGGAAGCGCTCCTAGACAGTTTTGACTGCAGCGAAAATGTTTCCTTGAAAGGCTAAACACCAACAAATACGGACTGAAGTTAAATATTTGGTTAGATAAAAATGTCAATGCTCTGGCTATTAAAGGGGGTTAGGTTAGTCTACATTGTGCCAACAAGTTTAAAGTAAAGAGACTAAATTTGTTCAGTGGTGGGTTTGAAGATTTCTGAACATCAGAAACTTTGGTGCAGAAGAGCTCGACCCAAATTAAAGTATGGATCAGTTGAATAAGATAAAGAGTTTGTGGGAATTGAGACCTCACAAATTCAAATTTAAGACCACTCAATGACCTTTAAGGACCTGCAGACACCCTGTGCCAATGGAGTACAGCTGAAAGCGTCCAGGCGGAGCTTGTTCTCGTGAAGTTTGGCTCCACATTAGTCTCGCTCACCAGACCTTTCTCAAGAAAAGAAAGGTCTGGCTGGGCCGACTCTCACTTTAAGATTGGAGAAAAAAACGCCCGGGCTGCTTGTATTTCTTTCAACCAATCACAATCGTTCTTGGCGGTGCCACAGCAACGGTGAGCTTGCAAAAATATTGCCGGGGGGAAACAGGCTTTGGTGTAACACGCCCACAAAAATATCGCCTACAGGACGCGAACCATGGCAGAAAAATGGCTACATCGCCGCAAGATCAAACACCGCAAAAGTTAGTAAAGGACATGTTGAAAACGGTTGAAAACTGCTACACAACCGGAGGTGGTAGGGCGGGACTTCAACGGGTGGCTCGTTCCGCCCAATGAGAGGCTGATCTATGCAGCGAACTTCCGCCCACTCAGACTAGCTCCACATTAACGACATTAATCTAAATATCTTGAGTTCTGCGTATGGCTGTGTGCACCTGACTGTGACCTCCATACCATCACAGTCCCAGTGCCCCTAGGGATTGACATTAAACAGTTTCAGTCAAAGGGAGCTTCGTGGAGGAGGTGTGCACTGACCTTGCGGTAGAGGTCAGTGAGCTTGAAGTAGAAAAGGCGACAGGAGAGGCAGCCGAATCGCAGATACGGGCTGAGGCCTGTTGGGCTGGCCAGCAGCGAGTTGGCATTCATCCTGGGACGCTCAAAGTTAGCCACCCACGCCTGGAGAAAGACAGAGACAGAGAGAGACACAGGAAGACGGGGAGGGAGGGAGAGATGGGAGATGCAGGGCACAATTATATATGTGGTCATCATTTTAAATATTAGTAAAAGCACTGCAGCTAATACAGTTATGTCTGTAAGGATTTCTGACAGTGTGTTTCTCTCATTAAAACTACCATGAATATGTTCTCTGATTGACGTTCATTCAGCTGAAATACTGACCTTCCTCTCCAGATGGCGCTCTATCCTGGTCAGCGCCTCGGTCTCTCCTCCCGGCCACACGGCTGTAGGCAGGCCCTCAGTGTCAAAGCCTGCAAACATTCATCATGATCACCTTCCAGGTTTACTACAATGTCGACTGAGTCAACAATCCTTCAGTTATACCATGAACACTAAAAATAAAGTCTTATACAACATGTAGCTGGATGCAGGCAGTCCACAGGTAATGTCGACAGAGCATGACCAGCTGCGTCTAATTGGTTGCCTTAGCAGCTGTTCTTAGCCGTTCCCTTTGCTGCTTATTTTCAATGTATAAATATAAATCTAATAAATATGACATACACTTGGGAGGCTGTTCTGTTCAGGGCTTTGTTAGAGTAACAGTGTGAAAACAGGTTGACCTTTTTCTCCGTGCAGGATGAAAGCTGAAGTGTTTGGGGCACCATTATCTGCTCAGATTCAACCAAATGCTTCAAAACTCATTGGACGATGCTTCACAGTGCAGTTGGACATTGACCTGAAGCATACTGCAAAAGCAACCAAAGACATTTTTAAGGCAAAGAAGTGGAATGTTGTGCAATGGCCAAGTCATATCATCTGACCTGAATCCAATTGAGCATGCGTTTCTCTTGCTGAAGCCAAAACTGAGGGCAAAACACCCAAAACACAAGCAGGAAGTGCAGACGGCTGCAGTAAAGGGCTGGCAGAGCATCACCAGGGAAGAAACCCAGCATCTGATGATGCCTATGTGTCCAACACTTCAGGCAGTCATTGACTGTAAAGGATTTGCAACCAAGTATTAAAACTGACTGTTTAATTGATGATTATGTTAGTTTGTCCAAATACTTATGAGCCCTTAAAGTCGGGGGACTGTGTGAAGAAATGGTTGTCATTCCTACACGGTTCATACTACATTTTTGAAAAAAGCCTTAAATGAAAGCTGAGAGTCTGCACTTTAAGCAGGTATTCATTGTTTCATTTAAAACCCACTGTGGTGGTGTACAGAGCCAAAATGATGACAACTGTATCAATGTCCAAATAATTATGGACCTGACTGTATATTCTGACCTTTATGGTAAATGAATCGAAATGGCCCAGCATTCACATGTGACTACATCCACTTTTCAAAATAAGGTTTTAACTTGGAGTATTAGGGTATAGTATTAGGTGTGTGTGAGCAGTGAACGGCTGCGGTACTTTAAGAGTGAATGAACTTGGCCTTCTGTGAATGGAAACTAGACATCTTGACTGACTGAGTGTAAGCCGGTTAAAATGTTACCCGGCTAATTTAGGGGACAAATAACAGCTTGTGTGGAACAAACCTTTCCACCAGACATCTGCACCGACAGCATTAGAGAGTTAACGCCTTAAATATCTTAACGATCTGTGAAATAGCTGCACACATGCAGGCGGCAGATAGCTGCAGTACAATTAATTGAATGAATGGACAGTAACCTTTGTGAATGGAAACTAGACATCTTGCCAGAAACTTTAAGAGGGTGAACGTGTTATCTGATTAATCTAATACTGAGATTTAGACTAGATGAACCTTTAAATAGAGGATCTTGACGGACAGTTTAAGGAGGTCTAATGAGCGTTAAGTGTTAACCATGGAAGGGATCATTTTGTGTTTGGTCTTAATTTCATAGATATTTTTTATTTGGTCAGATTTTAGGTATTGCATCATGCATTCATTCTAGTTAAAATTTAATTCTTGCCTTTGTAATTTCAGGACAAGTGCTTTATTTAGCCAAAGCTCTGCTGAGATTTAAAGGGATAGTGCACCCAGAAATGAAAATTCAGCCATTATCTACTCACCTATATGCCGAGGGAGGCTCAGGTGAAGTTTTAGAGTCCTCACATCACTTGCAGAGATCCAAGGGGAGAGGAGGTAGCAACACAACTCCACCTAATGGAGGCTGACGGCGCCCCAGATTCAAACATCCAAAAACACATAATTGAAACCACAAAATATCTCCATACTGATCGTCCGTAGTGATCCAAGTGTCCTGAAGCCCCGACAAAAAAAGTTGTTTGGAAAAACGTCATTTGAACTCTGTTTTTAGCCTCATTGTAGCCTGTAGCTCTGACTGCCTCTCCATACAGCGTGTGCACGTGTGTGCGCTTGCGCGAGACCGTGAGACATGGGCAACGACTTCATGTGTGTTCACGTGCTTTCGGTGGTCTTGCGTGCACACGTGAGCTCGGTACCATAGAGCTACAGGCTACAATGAGGCTAAAAACAGAGTTCAAATGACGTTTTTCCAAACAACTTTTTATGTCGGGGCTTCAGGACACTTGGATCACTACGGACGAGCAGTATGGAGATATTTTGTGGTTTCAATTATGTGTTTTTGGACGTTTGAATCTGGGGCGCCGTCAGCCTCCATTAGGTGGAGTTGTGTTGCTACCTCCTCTCCCCTTGGATCTCCGCAAGGGATGTGAGGACTCTAAAACTTCACCTGAGCCTCCCTCGGCATATGGGTGAGTAGATAATGGCTGAATTTTCATTTTTGGGTGCACTATTCCTTTAACACTAAAGTATCTTAAAGATTTGGCCTGGTAGAGATAATGTTTGAAAAAGTAGGACTAGATACTTAAAATTCACATCATATATTCTTTTTGAATGCAGAGGGTTGCAGCACAGTACAATGGCGTTAATTTTGCTACGCTAAAAACCTTTTGAACTCAGTTTATAATGTGTCTTTTAGAAATAGTCTGGTCTTAAAGTGATTAAGACATCCACTTCAACCAAAACTCTTTTAAAGACTTTTGCTGCCTCAGGGGAAAGTAATTCCTAATGAGTAAAAACAAGTTGGAAATGTCTCCCAATATCTGCAGAAATGTAAGGGGTACCAAATCATGTCCACACATTATGTCACTGAATGTCACGAGGAGACAAACTGCCATAGCACAATCACAGAAATCACAGAAACAGTGGTGTGGTGTGACATCCAGGTGGGGCTATGGCTCTACAGGTAGCTCTGTGTTTTTTGGCCGTTTTTGCAATTTTAAACATTTGTATTTTGAAACCACTGAGCGTGAAACTTGTGTTTTGTATATTAATATCATACTGTCGGTGATGTGTTAGTGTTTTTGTTTCAGGGCTCTGCACTGATCTCATCACTGACATTTTCCTAACTGATTTATTTTGTCTCAAAGAGTGAAAAGAAAATATAAAAGCTGCTGGAAACTGTGAGTCCATCTCCTACGCTGCATTGTTGAGAACATTTTTAGCCACATTTCTATTTTTTGTTTATGCAGGAGTAGATCTGCTTTCAACATGTCCTCATCCTGCTGCCTACACACAGTGAGGCCTGTAAAGCCTGTCCAGGTCTATACTTGTCTAAGTTCAGGTGTGTGTGTGTGTGTGTGTGTGTGTGTGTGTGTGTGTTTTCTCACCCAGCTCCTCCAGGGACGGAACCCCGTACTTGTCTCCATGGTCCTCAGAGATGGGGGTGACACAGCGACCCATCAGGGTGTCTGAGAGCGTCTCCACGGGCATCTCAGGAGGATCCAGTCGACTGATGAGAGTCTGGAAACGCTTGTAGGTGAGAGGAGGCTGCCCGCCATTCAGCTCGATGATCCTGGGGAGGGGTGGAGAAAGAGACTGGTCAAAGTTTAATCTAAAATCTAATCTTTCACTCATATCTATCATGCACGAGGAGATGCTGGAAATACTTTTAAAAAACTTAAGTCTGAAACCTTTCTGCATCTAAAGACAATGTGAAGTTTTATAAGATTTTGCAAAGACTGAGGATCTTGCAGGGTCACAATTTGCAAAACTGGGGTTTTGTTAGGAACCCCGAACAGGACACCATTGCAGTAGTCCAAGCGGGAAGTGATAAAGGAGTGGATGAGTGTTTCTGCAACTGAGTCGGTGAGTGATGGCTGGAGTCTGGAGATGTTTTCCAGGTGGTGGAAAGCAGATTTGGTGACAGATTCGATGTGGGTCTGAAATGAGAAGGTGGAGTCGAGGATCACTCCGGGGTTGCGGACCTCAGCAGATGGTAAGATGGTGGCACTGTCAATGGTTAGGATTAGATCCCCAACCTTCCCGAGCAGTGCCTTGGGGGCCACAACCATGAGCTCTGTCTTGTTGCTGTTGAGTTTGAGTAGATCAGATGTCAACCATGATTTTATTTCGAGTAGGCAATTGGATGGGCAGAGGGTTTTGTACTGATGTAGAGCTGGGTGTCGTCGGCATAAGAATGAAAGTTGAGACCATGGCGTCGGATGATCTTGCCTAATGGGAGCATGCAAATGTTGAACAGAAAGGGGCCAAGCACAGAGCCTTGGGGGACACCTTGATTGACGGAGGCGAGAGAGAGCGATCGAGATCCTGGGACCACACACCAACTGAGGTACAACTCTTATGATTTTCTTCTGATTTTGGAAATTTGTCTGCAACAGCGGAGCCACTTGAAGAGTCCTTTAGGTGTGTAAGGCCAGCACAAGTAAAACAAAAACTTCACAACACTGGCACGAAGCAAAGGTCAACATTTCTCTAAATTTAAAAGAGACACTTGCTTTTATATTATTTATGTCATCGGCTTCCACTAAAATAACTTAATACTTCAGTAAAGGTATATATCGTAATATTTGAAGTTGAAAAATGTATTTTAAAAATGACATGTAACAAACGTGGACAGTCTGTGCATGAGAAATCCTTAAAAATCCTTTACTACAAGGTACCAATCAGTGATCAGCATCTGTCTCTAATCATTCATCAGTGTAACAGTAGACTGGCTTCAGCCCTTTAAGCCTTTGTTTTTTGCCCGTGTGTGTGTGTTTGTATTTCCTCACTTGTCCAGGTCGTAGAGGGTGTGCGATATCTTGACGATGACCTCCACTCCTGCCTCCATGGCCAGCTTCTTGATGGCAGCGTCTCTCTCCTTCCCAAAAGGCTCTGAGTCATACTCAAAGGTCAGGCGAGAGATCTTCCACTCCTGAGACATAAGATGACAATTTACCCATCAAAATGTGCCACAGCACAAGGTGACATGTTTCAGTGCTGCTTTATCTGACTGAACCAACAATACTCAATTTGTAATGACATAAAACAGCAGAAAGCTGCAGCTCCTAACGTTTGAGAAGCTGGAAATTCTTTTTAAATGAGATTATTGGTGCTGCTCTCAGTTTTCTGTCGATGCTGACCTTAAAGAGCCGCGGGAACACATTGGCTGGTTGGCCCCTGATGACAAAAAGGCGGGAGTTGAGCTTCCGAAGGTTGGCGTCTAGATCCTCCAAACACTGAAGGAGAAACCTGAAGAGAGAAGACAGGGAGGAGGTGGAGAGGACAACAGATGTGTTACTGATCTTCTGATTACACCCTGAAGTCATGACCTAACCACTGATTCTTCTTTGACTTTTGCTGCAAAACTTTTTGGTCCTGCCTGTTGTCCTCTTTTACTCTCAGCATTCCTCCTGCATGTATACAGCCAATCAGACCCAAACTGACTGAGGTGCTCTGAGCATGCTCCACAGTTTTCCGCCCCGGGCTTTGACCCAGAAGTCCAATAGCATTAAATGAGTAACCGTGACTTTTTTGGATGTACGAATTGTACAAAGCTGTAAAGTTGTCCAGCATGGTAGCAGTTAGCTGCTAGCTAACCGTAGCTAACTTGTTTGTCAATTGTTTGGTCTGTGATGAAACAGGTCTAATACTGACAAGCTGAAAGGGGGCATATCTCCACCTATTGTAGTGGAGTTGGACATACTTTGGCCAATAAATCAATCCCCCTCCCGTGCTTGTATACTGGGACAAGGACACCAGTCCAATTAAATGGCCTAGTCAAGCTGTAACTGTAGCTCTACTTAACTGTGCATGCAAACGTACTGGCTGAAGGTCTAACTCGAAGAGGAGGGAGGGGTGGTGAGAATCTTGCTAACTTAAACCATCTGCATGAGAAGGTGGTGATGTGCTTAAAATGACTTCTTTTTCCTTCCTTCTATAAATAAACCACCATCTACTGTTTGACTGTTTCCACTTTTGCTCTCCGTAATCTGTGTTGGCGCCCAACCTTTCACACCTGACAAGACAGTAACTCTGCACTGCTGTGAACACCAACACATGAACTCGGAAAAACATACTACCATTCACACTTGTCCTCAATTGAAATCTAATTCAATTCAAATTCATATGTTTATGGGATTTATTGTTTTTATTTGGTTTTGGTCTCGAATCAGGGATCGAGAGTTGTGGAATTTCACTGGCATTGGTATCAACTACTAAATCTGTGACATACACACTGAGGTGTTTAGGTTGGGTAAGTGGCTAAATAGCTCTACAAGGTGAAATGTGCTGCTCTCCATTTCTCCCCAGTTCTGGTCTGAGAAACAAACTCTCGGTCCTTGTTGATGAGGCAATCGAAGGGGCAAGGGCAGCAGCTGTCCTGCTGGTTAGAAAGACTTCTCCGAAATCATGCTGACTAATATTACATCCAAAATTCCTACCAATGCTGCCAAACTATCTGGTAAATAGTGTGTGTGTGTGAGTAAGGGTGTGTGCGTTTACTTAACTCCTGGAAATTTCAATTCATCATTATGTTCAGCTGCAGAGGAATCTGTTCTGAGACACAGAGGAATCTATTGCCACAAACAACTGCATTTACCATCAACACTGACGGGACATACACATAACAGGTGGTGAATTTCCCCTTTAATGTGTCTGTAGTCTTGCTTTTATTGAATTTTGATAAATGTTTTTAGTCTTTTATTTCATTTTAGTTTGAATTGTTACGATTAAAGTCTGTTTTATTGCATTTAAATGTTTGTGTTTGTCACCTTTTCTAAGAAAGACAGATATTTCCCTCAGGAGTTGGTGGAGACCAAAAACAGAGATAAAAGAGAGTGAAGATTGGACCTCAGTTCATCAGGTGGACACAAACATGTGTAAAGAAGCAACAGATTGCCAAATCAACTTAGAAAGTGATGATATGTTACTATATAATGACGAAAAACTCTGTCTGTGCGTCTGTTCCACGTTTTTCTCCTCACTGACTTGGTCAATCCATGTGAAATTTGGCACAGTCGTAGAGGGTCATGGGAGGATGCCAATGAAGCAATATTACATCAATTGGCCAAAGGGCGGCGCTATAGCAACGGATTGAAATGTCAAACTCTGAATGGGCATATCTCATGCCCCGTATGTCGTAGAGACATGAAACTTTGCACAGAGATGCCTCTCCTCATGAGGAACACATTTGCCTCAAGAACCCATAACTTCCGCTTATATAGATTTTCCGCCATTTTGAATTTTTTGAAAAACACTTCAAATGGATCTCTTCCTAGGAAGTTTGAGCGATCTGCATGAAACTGGGTGAACATAATCTAGGGACCAATATCTAAAGTTCCCTCTTGGCAAAAGTTGGAAAACTTACTAAAACTGAGCTTCTATAAGGCAATGAATATTGCGGAGGGCGTGGCTCATCACATAAAGGTGTATAACATCTCAAGGGTTTCACCCATCACCACGCAACTTTGTAGGCATATGACCACACATAATCTGAGGGGACCCCTCCATTATTGACCCCATCAAACAAAATGGGGGCGCTAGAGAGCTCATTTCTTATCTAGGCCTAACCGCCATATGGATTTTTACTAAACTTGGTAGATATGTAGAACAGGACGCCTCAAGGTGACTGGAGAAATTTAACTCTAATTGGCAACTGGGTGGCGCTATAACAACAGAAAAATGCTTCAAAATGGCTAAAATGCGACCGATCGCTGTGGCTCCCCCTGTGGACCAATGTTG